CCGGGGGATAGTACCACCTGCAATGGGCTAAGCCCTCCCCTATGAATCACTATTAAGGAAATGTCTTATAGCCAGATCTTATGGAGGTGTTTTCTCAATCGGGGTTCCCTCCTTTCTGAAAACTCTAGCTTGTCTAGTTGACGTACAACTATCCAGCACAAAAAAACTTTTTCTTTGTTTATTTCTTGTTTTGTTTTCTAGTCAGCTTGTTCACCATCCAGATTTGCCAGTGAGGAGACTGAAAGATGGAGCAGGGATGCGGGGGGTGGAGACAGCATGTAAGTCCTGCTACTGTTGGCCCAGAGTGACATTGCTTCATCTTGGCAGTTGGTTCCAGTCTCCAGCTATTGATTTGTTTTTCAGTCAGGAGTCAGCCCCTATCATGACCTTTTGGAGATACCAGCCATGACCTGGAATGATTGAATCCCCCCTCCACCTCCTCCTGCTTCTCCCACTTGTCAGTATATCAGGAAAACAGCCCTGTACAGACAGGCATGGGGGACTCTTCCCCTACTAGCTGCTTTGTGAAGTGAGCACAGTTCCACTCTTCGTTCCCTGGTTTCTCCTCAGAGAATTGATCGTTTCAGCCACTTTCTCTGTGTTGTGCATCTTCCCAGCAGTGAATCCACTTGTGCTACATTCCATCAAATGCCTGGTGTGACCTTGCTTTTCCTTATTGGCTCATAACTCACACAAGAGTAGGGTCAAGTTGTGTGAGGACAGAGGGCTTCTGCGTTTCCATCTGAAGTCAGGGGGCGGTAGGGGTAACTGATTTCAAGTCAAGGAAGCAGTTGGAAACTGAACACTGAAGCTCAGAAAGATGTTAAGTGCAGAAATACAAAGTGACTTGTTTCTTCATTTCCCGTGGAGTCTCACAAACCTCAGGTTGAAATAAACAGCTCCTTCTAGGTTTGAATTTCCCATGTATTGGACTGTTAATATCTGTGTATGTGTATTTTATCAATAATTATATCAATTAATATGGGACAAGAGTAAGCTGAGCACCTGACTTACTCCTAAATGTCTTAAGTTAGGGAGCATTTGGAAAAGTTGAAAAATTCAGAGACACATCGTTGCATTTTATGCTGTCAGTTAAACTAGAGATTGTATATGGTCACATGGCTTGCAAGTTTTCAGCGGCATTGCAAGTGGAAATGCATCCATTGTTTGGAGGACTGCTGTAAAACTACAGTGAAGATGTTCAATGCTACAGTATCCCAAGCAGAAGGGCCTGGAGTGGATGAGCAGTTACCCATTATCGCTCCATAAGAGGCTCTGCTTTCATCTGCCAGTTGTCACAAAAGGAAATCTAAATACCACTGGAGAGTTTCAGAGGTTGGGCTAACCCCTTTTTAGATCCTCAGAATGGAAGAACAAGAATAAGGTTGAAAAACAAAACACTCCAGAAAATGATATCATACGTTTATCAAGTCATAAAAAAAAAAAAAAAAACTTTCCACTGTACTCAAGACTTCTATTTCTTTTCCATTGTCAGCCAACTGAAGTGGCCATTGTAGCTGATGTGAGACAGTACTTTTGAAAAAGATGCTGCCTTTGGGAAAGACCTATGCATGCCTCTGTAAGGTGATAAGTTCAAGGGAAACCTAACTGAAACACTCCAATGATTTCAAGACCAGTTTAAATGTAGTAAAATAGGCATGAAAGCCTCTAATAAGTGCTCTCAAGGCAGACTGCCTCAGCCTGATCTTCAGGAGTTTAAAGTAGGAAAAAAAAACTTTTCAAATGCTATAAAACATGAGGTAAGATCAAGAGAAGAGTGTATAAAACCAGCCTGAGCATCATTTTAATGTGTATAATTTGTTAAAATGGTGAAAGAGCGCTCTCTCAGCTGTAACAGGCTTTCTCACTTCTTGTCTTCAGTGTGACCCTCGCCTCTTTCCATCATTCTCTGTCACTGCCACACAGTCATTTTTTTTTTTTTGGCGTGGTGGTTTTCAAGGATTTTATTTTGTTATGAGAAAAAGAGGCTGTCAGTTTGTCTTTCGATTTCTCCGTTCTATGTTATGTCCCATTGGTTTCACTTCTAAAACAATGACAGATTCTGTAATGCATAGGAATAAGTAATATTCAGCCACAGACCCAATCTGTAAACAGGAGTCTTTGGTGAATTAAATACAAGTTCTGGGTTGTTATAAAATGTTTTTATTTTAGATTCGGTTGACTTACTGAATTTCAATTTTTAAATATTATGGGCTTTGAACATCTTTCTATTTCTTTTTAATTTATGCACAAACCACAGAAGAGCAACTTTAAGAACAACTTCCTTATTCTGGACATGAGCTGGCCAGTGCCTGAATCTTTACACTTCAAAACTCTGTGTTAAAACCTAATTATAGTGTGGTACTGTTAAGACTCTTGGACTTTTGATAAGTGGAGGTTTAGGAAGATGTCTTAAGTAAGACCTCAGAAAAAGAGGGGTTAGTAGGGCTAAAGAGATGGGGAGGGAGTGGGTAAGAGCACTTGCTGTTCTTGTAGAGAACATGGATTCAGATCCCAGCACTACATCATTCCTCACAGCCATCTATAACTCCAGGTCAAGGAGATCCAGTGCCTTCTTTTGACCTCTGTGGGCAGTAGACACATACATGGTGCACATACATACATTTAGGCAAAACACTATCACACAAAATAAAGAAAAGGAAATTAAAGTGGTCAGGGATGCCGTGTTTTCTTTCTACTGGCTGAAGACACCATGAAAGTCAACAGTGTGGAAAAGGTCCGCAGCAGATGTGGAGACTTCTGAGGCGATTCTCTTAAATTTCTCAAACTCCAGAAATATAGGAGATGCATTTTATTGCCCATGAATTATCCAATCTGAGATCTTTTGTTATAGCAGCAAGCATAGACTAAATACTAAGTACAAAGAAGTAATGATACATGAGCAAGTACCTAAAATGTGGAAGTGGATTTAGGCAAAGGCTGGAAGAGTTTGAATGAGTGAGAAAAAGTATAGTTTTCTATGAATGGATTAAGAACTGATTTGGTGTCTGGTGAAATGAAAAGTAATCAGTCCTTAAACTATTTTTTTTCAGTGCCCATTGCTGTGCATTTTTAATTCTTAGTGGAGGAGCATATTTTAAAAGAGCTCATTTAAGAATAGAAGATGCATTGATTTGCTTTGATATCCAGCTTCGTTATTGGATTGAATGCAATTATGATGAACTAAGTGCTGAGTAATGAGCAATTTGGCAGAGACAGGCTGTCCCAAAGCTATAGAAACAAGAAGCTATGCTTGTGTTTGCAGGTCAGGTCAGTTCATCAGTGGCATGGCCAGCAAAACATTACATAGTGAATAAGACTTTGCCATAAAACGAGGAACAAGGTACAAGTGATTTGGAATCTAGTTTAGAGACACTTATCACATACAGTCTTTCCACATGGTAATCAAGGCGCCCAATCTAGGCAACTAGTGGAAGCAACCACAGTGAAATAAATTTTGTTTCAAAATACTTAGTCCCAAAGTAAAGAAACTTGCCTAGAATACCTGTCTTTCACTAAAGAGGTATAAAAAGAAAATTTAAATAATAAGGTGTTATATATAAGACCATCAATAAGTACACTAAATGATCCACTATCAAACTCATTTTGTCAAACAAATATTCTGAAAAGTCTAAAAGAAATAATGACTTCAGCATAACTTTGTTTATAAACCTGACAAATCAAGAGCAGAGACGCTGAAGATTACTGTTCAGAAACACGAGAATCGTGCTGGAAATTGGCAGCGAACCCAAGCTCACTGTTTAGTTTCCCCTAAAGGCTTTGAGTTACAGTAACCATTCTCAATGAAAGTGAATAGAAACATTTATAAATTGATGCTTCACCATAAGATTTTTGACTCACAGAGTTCCAGACACAGTTTGAAAACCTTATTCTTTTATTTGCTTTTGTGACAATTTCATGTTCAAGTGTTCTTCTTGTAGATTTATTTTCACAACAATTGATGTGATGACTCTCCCATTTTAGATGAAGTTCTCACCTTTAAAATTTACCTCGAGTATTTATTCCTTTATCAAGTCACTTCTAAGAGACTGAGCTACTCCAACATAGAGTGTTTATGAGCTGAAGAGTAACAAGTTAAGTCAAACAATAAAGATGCTTTTTACTAAAGCAGGGGCCTGTGCTTTAATATGAGAGCAACATAAGCATAAAGTACAGTCGTCTTCAGGAGGAGGACAGAGGCTTTAGCAAACCTAAACCTCTCAAATCTTTTAGGATTGGTCTGGTCTTTAGAAAGGAGGAGCTGGTGAAATTGCCTCCTTTGTGGGCTTTCCTTTCTGGAGTCCTGGATGCCTATTGAAGACGCATTTGAGAAACAGAATACTGTCCTACTTTTCCTCAGAGTACCGCTGCTTCCACATATGCTAATTCAAAAAGCAAGGGAAATATTTAGGGGAAACATCATGTGTTTAGGGCTGAGCATAGAGCTCAGTTGGGAGAGTGCTTGCTTGACACGTAAGACACTGCTACCTGGGTTTGATTCCCAGCACCACATAGAGCCGGATGTGGTGGTAAATACATGTAACCCCATACTTGGGAGGCAGTGGCTGAGTGGTCAAGAGTGCAAAGATATCCTCCGCTACACAATAAATTTCAAGGGCAGATTGAGCTGCCTGAAACTATGCCTCAAACTAACTAGATAACCAAATTGACTCTGTGCTTGATATGTGCAGGTTTTTTTTCCTAATTTTTCCTCAAACATATCAACATAACTATTTATGCAAATTTACATTGTATTTGGCACTATAAGTAATTAATGCATGCTTAAAAATTCACAGAGTGATGATTTGTGTGAGTTATATACAAATGCTTGGCCATTTTAAAGGACTTGAGAATCCACAGTGTTTGCTATCTGTGGGAACTGAGAACCACGTCTCTGAGGCTGAGGAATGACTACAATTACTTGTTACAATAAATTATAATCTTTGAACTAACCTTATAAAACATAGTTTTACTCTATTTAAAGATATTCCATACTTTTCAGACTTTGTGATGTGGAGACAGAGACACCGGCTATCTGAGAAGATGGATTATTCCAAGTGCCTTGAATAGTCCTGGAAACACCAGAGACGCCTCAGAATTGTTAATTTTATTCTGCCTTCTCTAGACTGAAAAGGTTAATGCACACTGCTCACTTCCTTAATGCAAACCTAATGAATTTTCTGGGTCCTGTTATTGAAAAGAGACAAATATATATTCAGTCATTTAGAGGAAATAGGAAGCTTTCTGACTCCCGAGTCATGAATTTCCCATTAAAATTTTAATTCTTTAATCCATGGAGGAAGTCAGGGCTGGCTAATATTATAATAGAAAGTTTACTTATAAATCTTTTAAAAATATATTGCATATTTAATAATGGTATAGTCATATTTTTAAAGTAAAAGGAGAACTTGAGAACCTGTTTTATGGATAACATCCTGTAGTGACACAAGACTTTACAAACGAACAATTTTTATTGCCTCCTTGCTAATCTTCAGGCAAACTTGTGGGTTAAAACGGGTAGCTATAGTCATTAGGACCATGTTGTGAAGGAAAGGAGTGGCATTCATGTTTTCACCATTGCTATTTCAGGCACTGCTGATGTTTCAAGGGTTTATTATTTAAATCCGCTTGCTTTTGTTTACACAAAGTAACAAAGATAGGTCTGAAAACCATTAAAGGCACTTTTTTCCCCCTGAAAATTGCAACTGTGTTGTAACCATAAACAGAGCCAAGGATGTTCTTTCTTATTTCTTAAATGTAAGTGTATTCTTTCAGAATTAAAAAGAGATTGAAATGTAAGAAAAGGTATGGGTAACCTTCATTAGAGAGTGAAGTTTAGTCTAATAACAAAATAAACCAAGGGGAAATTCTTTTGAAGACTGGTGTGGTTAGTTTCAGGTAAAGTTGCTATTTAAGGTAGATCTCATCTTCCAGGTGACAGCATGCAAAAAATAAATACAATGTTAGAATGAAAAATGTTCGAACGAAAATATACCTTGATAAAGGTTTTCTGTTCTCTTCGACAACTCATAAATTAGCTGTAGAAACTTCTCACTGGTGCCAAAAATCTCATCCCCAAAGCTCACTGTTGATCTTCATTGGGGCCTCCCAGGGGGTTTTGCTTCTTACTTCTGTTCCCTTTGGCCCACGTTCCCTGCCATCATTTACTTGTTCACTCAGATGTTCCACAGACAGCAAATATGGTCATGAGAAATCACTAAAGTCAACAGACAGCATGCACACAATTTACAATAAGTATCTCGCAAGGTAAAGAACTTTCTGCTATAATTCTAACTTGTGGCCTTTGCATTTCCTTGTTGATTGGCCTTCAGTTCTGAACACTTTGCTGTTTTAGGAGCACAAAGCTTCAAGCCCCTGCCAGGCCCACTAAGTCAAACTTACAGTTTAGTGTGTGTGTGTTGGGGGGGGGGGTTCAATGATCGTCTTCTCTTGCCCCGTGTTCAGTATCCAAAATGCTTACAAAACAAAACTCTGCAGTTTAACATGGTCTCCAGATGCTTCTTTTGCATGCCCACTGTTTTTAAAATTTTGTTTTAAGAGACCTTCTGCTCTGCTCACTCAGAAAATGACATCAAAAAGACGAATTCCTATAATTCCTGAGTCTAGACAATTTCGGAAGGAAATTAGCTTATCAGCTTTTCATGTTCAAATTCAATAGAACTGTCCTTTTGTGTTACTAAATGATGGTATGTGTCATAGCCATTTGGTTAAATCCTTTGGATTTTAATAGTCTTTAGTTTTTCCATTTCAATGTGCTGTCCAAATCTCAATATGCTGTCCATTAGCTATCAGCCACTGCAGTCTGAAGAGATATCACAGGGATGTCCCATTTTTGCCACTTATGTCACTAAGGTATAGCTAGATGTCCTGATTTTCATCTCCTTTATATAACCCTCACCACCACAGTCTTCTACCCAACAGAGCCTGTGGTCTCCGTCCAGTCTGGAGGCATTTGTTGGGCTTTGAGAACAGCTTTCCTGTTATCTTTATGCCACACTCAGCTCTCTGTGTCCTATAGCTCCATGACAATAACCGAGGAAGCCTGAACTCAAGAAAGACAAGACACACTGTCTTCTCCCTTGTACTCTCAGTTCTCCACCCTTAAGTTCCCCACTCCTCTCTTCCTCTCCGTCTCCTCATACCTCTCAGTTCTATCTCTCCTTCTCTGAAAATAAAACTGCCTCTTTATCAGGGATCAGAGTTTTAAATTGTGTGTGTGTGTGTGTGTGTGTGTGTGTGTGTGTGTGTGTATGTATACTTATGTGGGTGTGAGTGTAAGTCATGAAACTAGAAAGGAGACCATGAGAAGGAAAGTGAGTGTGATCTGGGTGCATTAGGTGAAATTCCCAAATAATCAATAAAAATATTACATCGGAAATAAAAGATAAATGTGATATTTAGATGACTGCAAACCTTGTCCGTTGGGAGAAGCAGGCAGCTGTGGGGATGTCAGCTGATGTGGTTTAAGAGAAGACAGCTCTGTCCCACACGGAGTGAGATGAGAACTGGCTGAGTTAAATCAGCAAATTCCCTTTCTTCGCTTGATAGTTTGATCATGATGACATATTGGGGGTTATGAAAATCAGCATAAATGTATAGGCTGTTATATAAGGTGCTAACAATACAATCTGGAAAAATATCTGACCCAGTGGTTCATCCTCACCACTTGGTGATCTGGGTGGGTTTAAAACCTTCTAGATATTATTTTCATTGTTGCTAACACAGTAGTGGAGGACAATAATTCTTCACTTCTCTCTCTTTCCTTTGAAGGTTAATATATAATAATCTGTGAATGTGCTTTATAAATCCTAGAGTACTGGGCAGATTTTAGCAATCATGGAGCACCGTGACAACTGTTCTCATTCTAAGAATCGTGGCCAGCACTACTACACTAAAAGGTAATTCTAGAAGTGAAAAATATAATAAACTTACTTAGCTACATTTTGAGGGCTAGATAGATAACTCAGCGGGTAAGAGCCCTTGCAGAAGCTTGTGGAGCTCTGCTTGGATGCCAGGTTCCCATGTAAAAAGCTAGGCACGGCCGTGAATGCAGACCTGTGACCAGTGGCCCATTTTTATGCATGGGTCTGATGAGTAACGGACAGGCACATAGGAATGTGACTGAGTTAAAGGGTATGAACTGATGGTCTCAGTTGGGAAGTCAGAAAGGTCTTTCTGTCCAGACTCTTTTTTTCTGTAAAAAGCTCTCGCAGCCCTGGAGTGACCTGCTTTTCAAGTGAGGTCGGAGGATTTCTGTGTGGACAACTCTCATGTCGAAAGGCCACACAAGGTCAGGGTGACTTTGATTCTGATGTCATTGTAATCCCCCCACTTCAGAGTATTTGGTGGTAACATCCTTATTTTACCCTCACATGCATTGTGCCAGAAAATTGTAATATTTGTAGTTTTCACTCAGAAGCAAACAATGTTAGAATCTGGTTATTATGATTTTTTTCCCCAGAAGCTCTTAACAAACTCAAAATTCTCAGTTTTTATTTATTTATTTATCTTTTTTATAACTGCAAAATATTTAGTATGTAATGGCTGTATCAAAGATAGATTGCCGCTTAAAAGCTCACTGTTCATAATGGTGCAGTTGTCTCAGGCTGCATATTTCAAATTCTATAGCCTCCCCATATCATTTTTTTTTAAATCGTTAAGGTAGCTTTTAGCATAAGAGGCTCAAAATTGCCAATTAATTAAAACCATTGCCCAGTTTCCTTCAGCTGCATGTATAATTCACATTGAGCTCTGCAGCTGAGTGAGTGCAGCCTTACAATATCAATCTCATCTCATAATTGGCTCCCCAAAGTTATGCCTCTCAAGGATGCAGTCCAAAGGACCAAATGAAAAAGACAGAAAGTCTTGGTTTCCCTGTGCTGTTTTGGCATGTGATTTGTTCCACATTTAACCTTTCCGAGAGCTCTTTAAAATTAATGCTTGGGATACAAAGTCTAGATTGAGACTTTCTATTGCCACATTGGAAGCATTCTTCGTTTTAGGACCCAGAAAGAACAACAAAATAGTGCTGCTGGTTATCCGACTTTTTCTGGCCCAATGTCAACCAGTCCAGCAGAAAGGAAGGAATGTCAAAATATTGTTGAATGATCTCATGCACAAATTCTTCAGTGTCTCTGAGAGAGCATCAGTTGTGTGTTTGGTATGAATTCTCCAGCAACAGACCAAAGAAATGGTCCCACCCAAGTCTGCTTGGCTGAACCAGTGAATGTTTGGGGATTATTTACAGGAGCATGGTTACTTAAGCAACCGCACCACCACAAAGACCACCACAGCTTGAGTAACTCATGAAAATGCATCTATGGAGCTCTCTATCTAGCTATGTTTCACTTTGGTTACCGCCTTTATAATCTGGGAAAGTGCCCTTGTAAATCTGTAAAATATATTTTTTTAATGATTTACTTTTTTATGTGAATTGCTATGAAGGTGTCAGATCCCCTGGAAGTGGTTGTGAGCTGCCATGTGGATACTGGAAATTGAACCTGGGACCGCTGGAAGAGCAGCCAGTGCTCTTAACCACTGAACCATCTCTCCAGCCCACCCTTGTGGATCTTATACCTCTTGCAAGCAGCCTGTGTTTTGTTAGCCCCTCTCCTCCCTCCAGCCACAACTGTTACAATGTGAAGGAAATAGCTATGTAATATTGTAAAAGTCAATAGTGTCCTACCTCCCCAAACAAAGTAAAACCAAACCCAACACAAATGTACTTTTTCAGACTTAATCTGTAAACATAAAAATACGACTTCCAAAATCACAAAGGCAAAGCCTTAACTTTCTGAGTCTTGAAATGTTCTGTTAAATTTTGGCCAGAGCCTCTAATGGTAGTAATTAATTTTCAGTGTGCATTTGCATATACCAGGAACATGATGTGTTAGGTGATATCCAACCCACCCACCCCCAACACACACAGACTGAATTCTTGTTCTGGCAAGAAAGGTAGGCTTCTGGACTCTGAGAACACTTGGCAGTTGAGTAGATGCTGGTAATTGGAAAGAGTCCAATGAAGGAAGGATGAGTGATCTATGTATCCACATAAATAAACGTGAGCTGTGAAAGCTATACTATTCAAAATGGAGTGTCTCATGTCAAACTCTGATAAAACAGAGCCAAAAGAAGGCCATAAGCAGGGGGTACTCATTCAAGATTTACTTGAAAACAAAATCACGGGATTTTCCAAATTATGACAGAAGCTTACTATAGACCATACAAAAACACTTGGCAGCACAAAGATAGATGAGTGTTTAAAAATGCTCTTGTCACAGTGTCTTATAAGGAATGAGAAAGCCTACTACAACTTCATCATTATACGTTTTACCTAGCAAATCTTTCCACTTACTAATCAGAACTTGCAATAACATCACCTGGTGTGCTGGTGATTCTTTCTAGATAACTTGCATAGCTTTTTTTCTCTTCCAATAAGTCTTCATTTTCCTCTCACTGTTTGGATATACTGCAGGCTACTCTGATCTGTGTACTGTGTGATTTGCAATTCTAATTGTCTGCTGTTCCCAAATAAAACCCTCTGCTTGGAATTTCATTCTCTGTGCTCATTTAATACTGACATAACAAAACCAAGATGCCAATGCAACTTCTTCTGACTCTGCAGTTCAGAAACAATAGCCATCACCTCGAATGTTAGACAAAGTGGTCAAGCAGATGGGTACTCAGGGTACTGAAGGTTCTGTACCTTGATTCATGCTGAAAATTGTGAGCAAACGTAGGAAAGATTAAAAAGAGAAAAGAAAGTTTGCTATAAATTATCTGTAGCACTATCAAGCTTTTGGCAGCAGGAGCTGTTTTGAACCAGATTACTTTCTGCAGAAATAAAATGGTCTAAGTGAAAGAAAGAGAGAACAAAGCTTGATGTAGGAAAGACTTTTTAAGGCAATAAGATTTTTCTAGTCATGGAATTGGTTGCTTTGAAAAAGAAGACATTAGCTGTTTTTCATAATTTGAAACTGCTTTTAAAGGAAACTAAATATTATTATAGAGGACATGGTTATAAAGTCAAAACACCTTCAAATAAACAAAGAAAAGTTCTATACATAATAGTATCACGTAAGCAGGTTCTCCTTATAGAACATCCACATTTTTTTAAATTTATGCTCTAAGGTTATTCAAGGACTGACACTGAACACCTTAAACTATTCAAGATCAATGTATTTATTTTAAAAACCATTGAAAATCTGACTTCTTTAAGACAAACTAATAATCAATGAACAAAAGCATTATGAATGGTTAGTCAAGAATTTGGAGTAGTTCTTTGCTGTTTTAGAAGAGACAAAGTGAAATGCAGAATTGACTTTTAGTTAGCCAATTCTGCACAGCGGAAGCCTCTGTGTTTTCCTTGATGAAACATGATGCTCCACCTTGTCTAAAAGTAACAGACTGGGTCCTGGCTATAGACATCTACTTTTTTAATCTCTCTGTCTTTCATTCTGTGTTTTGCTCTTACTGTATGTTTCTTTCTGTTGCTATCTGATCTCTGTGTGAGTAAGGAAGAGAAATGTAAAGATGTAAAATGTAAAGATGCCTGGTTTTCTCTGCTTTCCTTCCTCACTAGTTCACAAACAGTGCAGAGAGGACAAACTGGAAGGGAGGCAAGGCTACAAAATCTCAGAGCTCATCCTCAGTGATGTACTTCCACCAGCTACCCAAAAAGGTTCTATAACATCCCCCAAATAGCACAACCAACTGGAGTCCAAATATGCAAATACCTCAGCAACTGAGATCATTTCTCATTTAAACATCCATGATCAATAGACACTCATTGCTTCCTTCTTCCAACTATTGATATCATGTGACCTTGTGTTTCATTCAGGCTCCTATGCCATGACTTCACCATCTTGGACTACACCTTAAACTGTGAGCTAAACCCGTTCTCCCTTCAGTAGCTTTTGTATCAGTATTTTAATACATTAATGGGAAAAGATACTGAAACGGTGACCCATTACATTTTCTTGCACATTCTTATGAGATACACTTACTACCTAGCCATAATGCCACTGATGAAAATGTCTCTTTCTGCCCAGGCACCACTAACTGCCTATAGATCCTCTGGGATGGGTGGGGCCTAGTGAACCACTTTCCCCTAGCTATCGTTATTACCTTAAATTTCCCCCAAAAGGACTTCAGCTGCACTTTCCTGTCTGCCTTGGTAGAACGCTGACAGGCCAAATACTTTGCAACTCTTGTGCCTCTAAAAGAACCGTTGTAATATTAAGATTACAATGATGTTGTCATATTCTAAAGACAGCTTGCTCCATTCTTGCCTCTGAGACTTGCAGAGTAGAACAGGCTATAGATGTTCCATTTGTGGGTAAGCACTGAGTAGGCCCCCCCTTAGGTCTTAACTAATGTTCATTTCAATCTTTAAAGCATATTTCAAATGTATAAAGTGATTATATCACTGTGGATAACTACCTTATTTTTGCTTTACAAATTTAAACAATGCTAACTAAATACTGCAGATCTATTTGCAGATTAGGAATTCCTCAGTTTATCTTCCCTCTTTATTACTCTACTGAAATAAGCACTACTAGTGAATCAGAACTCTGTGTGGCACACTAAGTAAAAATGCTTAACATTTTTATTCAGCACTGTTATTGGTTTATATACAGTAAGAGGTACAGCTAGAGGTCATTTGCTTTGAATATTTTGCAATACTCCCTGTATGTTACAGTGTATTTCTAAGTTTTAGGTTATTTTCAGTACCATTTTGTTTTAGTTATTAATAAGCAACAAAGAAAACTTCTGTATGTACCTTCTCCTGTGAAGACAGGAGTCCCAAGACTTATGACACAATTATTTCCACTGATTATAATAACATTGCTTTCTACTATAGGTATTCTACTCTTTTCTTCTAAATTCTTTGTTTTATTGAAAATAGTTTTTTTTCACACAATTTATTCTGTTTATGGTTTCCCCTCCCCCAAGTCTTCCCAGATCCCCCCCACTTCTTCACCCACATAAATTCGCACCCTTTCTTCCCATCTCTCATTATAATATAAACAGGCATCTAAAGAATTAGATAAAACAAAAATCAACAAACCAGAATAAGACAAAACAAACAGCAGAAAAATTGTCAAAGAGAAAGTACAAGAAACACTTATAGGTGCAGGAACACATACATTTATTTGCACACACAGAAATCCCATTTAAAAAAAAGTGGTGGTGCACACATTTAATCCCAGTACTTGGAAGGCAGATCCAGGCAGATCTTTGTGAGTTTGAGGCCAGCCTGGTCTACAGAGTGAGATCCAGGAAAGGTGCAAAGCTACACAGAGAAATCCTGTCTCAAAAAAAAACAAAAACAAAAACAAAAACAAAAATCAAACAAACCCAGATGCCATTATATAAATAGATAGATAGATGATAGATAGATAGATAGATAGTAGATAGATAGATAGATAGATAGATAGATAGATAGATAGATAGATATAGATAGATAGATAGACAGACATACACACATGACCTATAAAGTTAAAAAAAAAAAAAAAACAACCCAAGCCCTTGTAAAACATTCGGAGACAAAGATATCCTTAAGTTTGTTTTGTGTTGGCCATCTACTGCTGCTGCTACTTTTGAAGTGCAATAGAGGCCAGAGGCCAGCATGTGGGTCCTGAGTGTGAACACATTGTGAACATTCTTGTTGGTAGGCATAAAGAATTGTAAAGGCCATAAAACTGATGATAACTCAATAAGGAGTAGGTAAATATGGATCCGGAATCTTTCTATTGTTCTTCGAGAAGCTGCCTTATCGTTTTTCCATTTTTATATGAGTCTGTGGCTTATTTGGTTTTGCAATTTTATTCTCTTTCTGTATGGATCAAATCCTTGACAACTGTCCAGGTCTTAATTTCAAAAGCATTGTCAAAATTTTAGGATTATGGAGCTTCATACCGTATGGCCAGAAACAGTAGCACTTTTACAGTTTACTAGGCATTTCACAAAAGCCTGCACAGTGTTATTTCTCTTGGCCCTGAAGTTTTAGTAGGAAGACAACTTCTTGTTCAAACAACTTATAGTTTAATGGGAGGAAGACACTAAGAAAGGAAACACCACGATGGCTTCTAATAGCATGAAGAATACAAAGAAAAGGAAACTGTCCTATGAGGATGTCCAAGTCTGGTTTACAACATACTTATTATGAGACAACTTCCACTTACCAGTGATGTGACATCTGTTCTTAGCGAACTGCTAGAATGTAGAAGTCTCTTTTGAACTCAAATAGAAATGGCAAAGTGTTATGCACACTAGGAACTTCTATGCCCCCAGAAGATCATGTAGTATTGTTATTAGCACTGTAGTAATTTGTTATGTAAAAAGAAAACCAAGTTGAAGCTTCAAAGAATGATTTACAATCCAACAGAGAGAGAATGTACTATGTATGAAAAGTAATCAGAGTAATCAGATTGGATTTGCTGACTGTTTTGTGGCTGTGCAGCCCTGAGAACTCACTGAGTACTGGAAAAAAAATCCTGACATTTTGAGGTTGTAAAGTAAGGATCCTACAAGGATGTATGATGACTTAGGCTTAAAGAATGACTGTTTAATATTCAGATTATAAACTAGAATGTATCTAGCATTATAATTCTCAGTAAAGTCAGCTCAGTTATTCTAATTGCTTTTGTCTTCTTGCCTCACATTCCATTCAGAAATTTATGGCTTTCCATCTGATATCTGCTTGTCAGGCCTGACCTCTTGTCTGGAATGGTCAATTGTTCCTTCCCTGGCTCTTTCTGCCTGCCTGAATTCTTTGCTATACTGTTGTAGGAGGTGAACTTAGAATTCCTCATGTGCCCCAAATCACATGGCCCAGCCAAGTCTGTCTTAAAAATGACTTCTTCCTCCCCTTCTATTACTTGCCACCATGACAATCAATGAATAGAAAAGAGTCTCACAAAGGAAAATAAAATCATAGTGATTTTCTCTGACTCAAAAAATAAAAAAAATAAATAAAATGGGCATTGCAGCTATCTCCTTTCAGAGTTCTGCCTCTACTCCAGTCCCTTGACAAAATCCTTTCCATATCCTTGTCATCCTTTTTCTGTTCTTCACACAGGTTAAAAATGTGACACAGGAACAGAGCCAGGGACCCATAAGTCACTGCATTGACAAGGACACCCGAAGAGTCTGCCTTGGGAAACCAACATGAGGAAAAGGCAAGGAAAAGGCATGAGAGAGAATGAGACTGTGAGAAAACAGTAATATGAAGAGTCGTAAATAATAGTAACAACCAACTACATATGTCCTAATACAGCGGCACCCAAGATCTATTTTAAAAATAACCCTGGATGTCCCTACAAGGTTCTGTTTCACACACTGTTTACCAAGTTCTCATTCATTTGAAGTACAGCAACGGAGCCATTGCTGAAAAACCAAAAGGAGCTCAATTCCCACCTTCTAGAAGCCTGTGTTCTACAGTGCAGACAGATTTCAGACAGAGCGCAGCTGGAGCATGCTCAGTGATAGCACAGTCATGGGCAGCCAAAAAGAGGCAGGCCAGCAGGTGTTTGCTCCGGGGTACAGCACCCTGCCACCAAGACATTCTTAGAAAACGTGTCACCTTTTCAATTTTATGTAAGCACAAAAATAGTCAAAGCTAGTTTCATTCATTTCTGTTGTAGTGGGTGGGTCTGGAAGTCCCCTCCTGAACAGTCAGGTCGGCCCTAAAATGACTTTGACTTTCCCTTCTATTGCTTGTTCCCGGCGACAGTCATTGTACAGAAACCAGCAGTAAGCAAGTCAGGAAGAAATAAGGAAAGACACATCATTCATGTGCTGTTTTTTTCTAGCTACATTCTGCCCAATAATGATTCTTCACGCAAAAACAAAAACAAAAAAAAATGCATTCCTCTTTCTGGGTGACCTCCTAGGTTTGGACACAGAGTGAACAATGCATTCTATGTTGCTATTTCTATATGCCTCTAGTGCCTAGAACAGAGATCTGCTCAGACAAGCTTGTTGACAAAATGCTTGAAGGTGTCAAAGCCTCCCAGAGACGGGTGTTATTGCAAACTATCTTCTTATGGATTTCAGAAAGAAATCAAGAGAACTGATTAAACAGCCATTGCATTTTGCTGCAGAATCACCTCCCGGAGAATCAGTGGGAAGTAAATTACAGGAAGGAAACCTGCGGGGAAAGTTATTCTTGATTAGACCTCCCTTTCACTGACCGCTCAAAGGGAAGCCCAGTGCTCAGCAGTGGCACATTTTGACACAGAACACAAGAACCACGTGAATTGGAGCTGAAGGCAAAATAACCAGTTACAGTCATGGATTGGGATTCCATTTCAGCATGGACAGGAAGAGAAGAAGGGTTGATTCATAAGCCAATATTTCAGAAATGAAACACAAACTCAGAATATTGGAGAAGACTGCTTTCCAAACAGGAAAGCCCTGTCAGTGTACTACCTGTGATAGCTTCTTGAAAATAAAATGATCACTTGCTTTCTAATCACTTCAAACACAAAATTGCCCTGTAAATGATTATTGCTCGAAGATGTAAACAATGCAGAATGAAATAAATAGAACAAAGCAGAATGTGACTTTTCGCTCTGTCTTCTCACAGTTAATCATCACCAACTATTGGACACATTTCTCAATGTGCTCTTTTGTTCCTCTGCATATGCTGTATATAATGATGCAGTGCAGGGGCAGGTGGGGGCAACTCAAACCCAGGACCACATACGCTGACTTACCTCAGTCCCTACAGTAGGTTTTATCAATATATATTTTGCCTTACAATTTCTCTTTCCTTCTTTTCCCCTTCTCTCCTCTCTTCTCTTCTCCTCTTCTTCCTCTTCCCCCTCCAACCCCCTACCCCCCACTCTCCACCCCCATCCCCCACTTCTTGGTGCCATCCCTCCCCACTCAAGACAGAATCTTACTCCACAACCCATACTGGTTTTGAGCTCCTGCCTCAACTTTCAGAGTTCTGGGATTAAGTTTAGGCCCCCACTCCCAAGTTGCTTTGTGATTTCATTTTTACTTAAAACATTTTGATCATACTACTGAGTTTTGAACTATACTAATATTTAACTATACTAATAGACTACCTGTGGATTTTTATGAAACTAATTCAAATTCAAAGCATAGTCATCTAGGCAAAATTGAGTACTTAATTGGCACTTAATATTTGAACTAAATTGTGAACAGGAGATACTCAATAATGAAGCCCAATGCAGAGCGAACCAATATGGGATGTTAGATGCTCTTATATTCATAGTTCTTACAGTTTATTTATTCATATACATAAAGATAACTTCTAATGAATTAAGTCATCTTTATTCAACAAAACTCACCCAGTATGATGGATCCTTTCTAAATTAGTATTCATAGATATAAAAAGCCATAGTAAAATTACTAATGACAGCAATAGTAATAATGAGTTACAATTGTTGAATGGTTTTCTGTTCATAAGACACATATGCCTTAACACATTTCCTAGTCCTAAGAGCTTTTGGAGAGATGGGTGTCATTCTTGGTGTATAACGTAAGGAACCGTACTTTTAACAGTGATTTGTCATCCCTATCCACTGAGGACAGGAAAGGGAAAAGGCTCAGACTCAAACTTCTTTGCTTCAGGGGCTGAGGATGTAATGCAGTCTGACAGCATTTGTTCACATGTGCAGCGCCCTGGGGCTTGACCCTCAGTACTGCAAAATAATGAAATATTATTTAGTTCACATTTATCTGCATATTCTCTCTTGCACAAATTTTACTAACAAGATGGTCCCATTTCTGTAAAATGAGTACTACCCTAAGAGTTGCTTATATAGACAGGACACTAGGACCTTTGTTGGCATAGACAACAGTAGTTTAACACATTTCGAGAACACATGATAATGAACTCGGTGACATAGTCTCCTTGACCAGCAGTGTCAGTGTCTCCAGGAAGCTTTTCAGAAAGGCAAATTCATGTGTTCCTCTGAGATTTACTGACTCTTTTCTGTGGGCCTGAGAGTCCTAATGTGTTTAATAACACACACCCCTTAGGCCATACTGATGCACCTTAGAATTTAAGACGCTCAGTTCTGTCCAGTGAAGCAGCAGAAGATAAATCACTCACTATTCAAATCTAAGCAACTATCTTTTTGAACCTTTGGGTGGACATATCTTTCTCTTGAAGTCAAAAGATGTACCACCTGAACAGATCAAACAGTTGATCTGGGAGCAGTTGCTCATTGGGTGGTCTGGGTCTAGAATCATTGTTCAGGGTACAGTAGTCCCATGCTAGTTATTTTAATAGCTCCTATATTTCTTACTAGTGTGAAAGACTTTTTGCAAACATTCTAATTTATTCCATTTCCAAATGCTTTTTGCTGATTAACTTTGGAAGCTAAGAAAATAGACAAATAAATGAATCATAATAATAACTAAATTTCCAAAATCAAATCATAAACACAATTACTAATATTGATTAATATGCTAATTCCCTGGAAGCTAGATGATAAAAGCCTGCTTAAGACAGATGGAGGAGGATGGAAAAAAAATAAAACCCTGACTACTATTCCAAACTTCCTCACAACATAACACTATTTTGACTAGCCTTGATCTTGGTTGTCATTCCAGGGATCTCTGAGGCTTGAGAATCTTCTTGGATACTGTACCATCAGCCTAATGCAAAAATTAATCTGAGGGAAAGGGGTCCATGGGTCGTCATGGCTTCAGCTTTTTTAAAAAGTTTGCTGACCAAACAAAAGTTTTAATGAATAAATTAACCTATAAGACACCCAGATATCAAATGCCGTGGGTTTTTTTTTGTTGTTGTTGTTGTTGTTGTTCTGTGAAAACAAGTACATCCTAGAAACTTTGATACCACTTTCTTTGTAGGTAAAGTACAAGCTCACACTGAGCTGTACTGCACACACCTCACACAGAGCAGCCTATCACTAAGGAAGGCGGTGACATGGAGCTATATGTCTGCATGAAATGATAACAACAGAAAATCTGTACCACATGACACAGCACAGTGTAATCACATCACTGTTAGGAAAAAGATTAATCCCTAATCACAGTACAATTTTTAATTAAGAAGAAGGTGGGAACTAGATAAAAAAAAATTAGGGATATTCAGTAAGCTTGTGAGAGAAGCCAAACATTAAATTAAAATGTTTTCTATGAAAACATGAATCTGCTTATGCAGATTATCCCACTGAATTATTCTACCATCTGCAGAATTCATGGTTTTTGGTTTGACTCATTTGTTACAAGTAGCTTTTCAACAGTAGTACTTACTGCTGAAAAAAGAGATGCTAAGAAGGTGGCAGAGTCAACTTGAAATTCATATTCTGTTGGGAAAAATAAATCACTGCTATGATTTCCTGTTTTCTATTTACACCAATAGGATGGTGCCTTTTTTAGTGAAATACAGCAATAGTTCTTACACTTTCCCTTGAAAAATAACAACTGCTAATGGTATCAGAGGAATGCAGAAACCTCTGTGGATGCTGTGCTGTTGATCTAGTGATAATCTTCATACAGAATATGCACACAGGTGGGAGCCTGTTGAACTAGTCTATATAAGTAGCTTGTGGTGCTCAATTGTACTGACATTGAGAAAACTTTAAAAATCACATTTTTATTTAAAACAGCACATAAGATGCCTTTAAAGACTTCATATTCATAATATGATGACTGTGTCGTGCACCAGCATACACTCCACTTCAGCGTTTATTTATATGATAATGAATTGTTCAGAGAAGGTATGGGCACAGTTTCCTAAATGGAGTGCTCATTGTGTGTCTTTATGTCTTTTAGTTTGAGGAAATATGAATATACAAGCAGCGCCAAGGAGATATTGCTGCATCGCTCTATGTCTGTGTATTTGGTGAACTATGTAACATCTAGTGTTGTACATGTTTTTGAGAAGTCAGAAGGCAGATTTCCTCTCTAAGATTCTAAATATCCCTTTAAAAGAACTTCTGAATGCAAGTCAAAGCTGGAGTATACAATGGGTATTTGGGAGCCATATATTTCTATATGAGACCATAAAAACAAAAACAGCCAAAAAGAAAAAAGAAAAGAAAGAGAATAGAGAAGACAGCCGCATGCATAAACAACACAATAAAGAGTTTGAACTGCATTCGTCATGAAATTATTCTAATTTTTGAGGTCCTAAAAGAAGTAAGTGTTTGGGAGTACACTGATATCCCCCACCAGCTTTAGTGTGGCTTTAGTATAGATTGCTGCTGTCTCTCTTTCAACACAGTTCCTGAAAGGACAAAGTACAAACAAAAGACATTAAACATTGTCCTTGTTTGCTTTTAATTTCTGGGATACAATATTGATCAAAAGTAACCTGGGGGTGAGGGGTATATGCGGTTTATACTTTCAAGTCGTGGTCCATTATTCAGGGAACTGAAGGCAGGAACCTGGAGACAGGAACTGAAACAGAGACACAGAGGAATGCTATTTACTGCCCTGTTCTTCATGGTTTGCCGAGTTTAAAAAATTATTTCTTTAATTTTTTGAGATTTTAATATAGTTACATAATTTCTTTCATCCCTCCAAACCTTCCTATCTAACTTCTTTTACTCTTTTAAAAACTTATGGCCTTTTAAAATTAATTGTTGTTATATGCATGTATGTGTATTCATAGACACACACACACACACACACACATATAAATTATAAATACAACCTGTTAACTATATAGTGTTACTTGTATGTATCCATTTAGGATGATGATGGGATTCCTCATACATAGCTTTCATTATGCTGAGTTTTGTGGTCCTACATTCTCTAGAACTTTTATTATGAATGCATGTTAGAGTTTGTTAAAGACTTTTTCTGCATCTTCCTATTTAAATGCATAAATGTTATAGATAAGGCTATTAAGAAAATTATTTCACTTGGTTATTGCAGTGTGAAAAATCCTATTATTCCATTTAGGGTTCAGTGTAGAAGCTCTCAGTCAGATCAAGGCAGTGTTCTTTTGGAAGCTCATTGTTACCCTCTACGTAACAGGGAGCCTGTCCATGGGTTGGGGCTGTCTAAATGTGTGATAGTTCTCCTCTGCCCACATAACCAGAGGTAGGAAGAAATATGAAGTTTGGGTGAGACTTATATTTGTTCTTATTGACATTTTTGCCCATAAATATGTCTCATTAAAGCAACAGATGGACAGACTGTATCTAATAAGGACTTACAGTATAGTCACAAGAACAAAGAGCTATGCCTTTTATACCTCAATTCAACAAAGTCTGTTGCATCAAAAGAATGCCAAGCAGCAAAACCTAGACAGGAAGGAGAACATAGGCAGACAAGAACCACATGTGGAGTTTATAAACAACTATAAGAATCAAATCAAGCAAGGAATCAAACAAATTATTCTTCAAATATTGACTTAAAATAATAAAATTGGTTTGTGCTGAAAAACTCCCAAGTATTTAGTGGCTGAATCTAATTTCCTGTTTCTTTGGTTTTTAAACTGTCCAGAAGAATGGTGAAGAAGAGCCTGTCTTGTTAC